CTTCAACCTTTTCTATTGTACCAAACCACATATTATTTCCTTTTACCATTTTGGTTCAATATAACTTTTTGTCATGAACTTTTCTTCCTGCCTTCCTGTTCCTGGTGATGGCTCTTGACTTCTGCCCCTTTATGCGCCTGTCTGCTTTTGATCCATATCACATGATCTGCGTCTCGCTCGCGGAGCGCTTTTTAGTGGCATGGTAATTGTGCCGCATTGATGTTGGGGTCCTGTCTGGAAGGTCATCCTGGATACTCTATACCTCTCAGCAATCTCAAGTAGCTAAGGCTCAGTTATGTGGTGAGAGTGGGCAAGTAGGGGTCCTTGTCTATGTCCCCAATTTGGACCTAGTGTTAACCACACGTACTAACCTTGTGTTTTGACAAGTTTATCTGGCCCTGACTTTTTTTTTATGGATGGAGTGGAGTCGCACCACAAGGCACGACCATCCGAGCTTCCATCAACCGTTAGATCCCGATAATTGCTTCTATCAAAAATCATTTGCATAAATATGGTTTAGGTGTAGTAGTAGTAGTATCATGCCCTCATTTTTAATAGTTTTGGTGCATGATCGCTCACCCTTTCCTTTTTTTTTGTGGCTTACCGATGAAAAATCATAATTTTTGTCTATGATCTATAAGGTATTTGTATACGGGAGCATATGAAGGATGTTCCGTCTAATCTAGTACACCTGATGAGGAGAGGAAGATAGTGAACCAAAAAACTTCGGTTATCTTTAAGTTAAATCTTTGAGTTTAGATATGTATAAATATGTGAAATATTTTATCTTCCAAATGATGACTGTAGAAATGTGACTTTTCGCTATTATTTTTTGAATGAAATTCAGTGTGAGATTTGGGATGTTACAAAAAATAGATAAACACAGAAGACAAATCTGTTAAAAATGCGGCCTTTTGGGTAACTTTGTCCCTCAAAACGACCAAAACAAGTTGATATTTTTAAATTAAAAAATATTATTTTATTATTATCAGTTAAAGTCTTAATTCTTTTGAGATGCATGCTTTCAAATATTGTGTCCTATTAGCATGTTTAAATGGAAGTAGAATTTTTCAATCATAAACATAGCTATTAAACATTGGTCTATGTGAAAATAAGTATTCCTCCCCGTTTCCTATTTATTCCATCCATTTTGTTCAATGATAATAATCAGAAATAATTTTAGTTATAAAATTACAAATTTACAATAATAGGTGTGCATTTAACAAAGATCATTACATATTACAAACGTGAAGTTTGAATTCCAAAAACAGCAATAAGTTTTCATAAACAATTCTGGACAAAACAGAGAAATTTTGGCAACCTTTCATTAGGTGAAGAAAAGTAGACTGATTTAACAAACATGTCCAAATACTTGCAGTTACCAACAGAAATACAAATAGAAAAAAACAAACCTTAATTATTCAAACCAAAGGGTACAAGTATCTGATATCTTCATGCATGAGGATAATTCTCTTTTCATATCATTTTTTCCTTCAATAGTGCAGATTTTCATGGTCAGTAGATACTTTGCATTCTCCAATATATATCTTGCAAATTGAAACTCATCTATAAAACCACTGTAAAATTTAAGACAACAGGTTTTAAGGTGTGATGAAATGCATCCAGGAACAGTTTGTGGGTAAGGCCAAGCAACTTCTTCATAGCCTGCTAAAACTAATGGAAGAAAGATCTAATAACAAACAAACATAAAAATTGGATTAATACTAATGCTTGAAGAAAATATAATAAGAAAATCCACACTTGAAAAACTTAATCATTAAACCTTAGAAATGCAAATGACAAGACTTTGAAGCTTGAGACATATTAAGGTGTTTTTATCAATATAACACTAGCATCCTCATTTGCGACTCTACCTATTTCAGATATCAAATCATTTTTATTCATGCTTTTATATTGTTTTTACTACTTTTTTTAGTTTTAATATGTCTCATTATTTTTAAGACATCTTTTATATTGATACTCATACTTTAATTAATGTTTTATTTAATAGTTGATTGAAAAATTAAAAAATATCTTTTATTATTATGACTTAAATTTTTCTTCTTTTGAGAAGCAAGATTTCAAATATATGTCGTATTAGTATGTTTAAGTAAAAGTAGAATTTTTCAAACATAAACATAACTGCTAAACATTCATCTATGTGAAAATAAGTATTCCTTCCCGTTTCAATGATAAAAATCATAAATAATGTTAAATTTACAATAATAGGTGTGCATTTAACAAAGATCATTACATATTCCAAACGTGAAGTTTGAATTCCAAAAAGAGCAACAAATTTTCATGAACAATTCTGCAAAAATCCAACAAATTGATGCAAACTTTCATTAGCTGAAGAAGAAAAGTAGACTAATTGCACTCTAAAAAACACAATCCTTAATTAAAAAAATGAAAATGAAAGGGTACAAGTATCTGATATCTTCATGCAGGAAGATAATTCTCTTTTCATATCATTAATTTCTTCCTCAAGAGTGTTGAATTTCATGGTCTGTAGATATTTTGCATTCTCCAATATATATCTTGCAAAGTGAAACTCATCTTTAGATCCACTGTAATATTTTAGACGGCAGATTTTAAGGTGTGATGAAATGCATGTAGGAACAGTTTGTGGGTATGGCCAAACATCTTCTTCATAACAACGACCATGTTTCTGATAACAAACAACATAAAAATTGGATAAATATTAATGCTTGAAGAAAATATAAGAAGAAAATCCACACTTTGAAAAACTTAATCATTAAACCTTAGAAATGTCAATGACAAGACTTTGAAGCTTGGGACAATGATTGAGCACTTTCAAGACCAGAAGCCAATCCAGGATCACAATCAATTGAAGTTGAACTAAATTGTGAAAGTCAAAATTCAGGTCCAGGTGTGGTTGAAATATCTGCAAGAAAAACGAAATGATATCAAAACATCAGAAAACCCTCATTTTCCCCTTCGAAATGGAAAGTAATAACAAACAAATCTCACAGGTATTACCCGATGGAATTTCAATACCACAACTTCCTTAAATATTTCCAATGGAAGTAAGAATTTTCCGATGCTTGCTCTAACCAATTTGGGCAATCTGATAAACTTTCCTTTAGTATCACAAGCCAAATGACTCACGTTTATGACTTTTAAGTCCTCAAGATTAGGACACCCAGAAAGAAGCTGTGAAAGATCAATTTCTATTGGGGAATTAATAGAATCTAGATGCAAGATCTTAAGCAAGGGCAAATCAACAAAGGAAATATCTTCCACTGTTATGTACTCCAACTTGAGAGTTACAAGAGTTCTAAAGCTAAACACCACAGATGGAATGACAATGTCCGGATCGCACTGGAGGTCGAGGATTTGAACTGTATCACTTTCACTCACTGCATTCTGAATCCGAGTCCTGATACTTTTCAAAATATACATGGAAAAGTAACATCTGAGACGAAATCTATACAAGGGTTGATCTCCACGACCAGCCAAGAAAGAACACACCGAGCTATAAAACGTATGGATATCCTTTTTGCGTTTGAGAAGGGAAAAATATTCGTCAGTGTCGAAATCCAAAGAGGGGACTGAACGCCACAGAAGATTCCAGCGCTTGGAGAGAACACTGGTTGCAACAACTTCACGGGATTTGAGAAAAGAAAGAATATAACAAATTATTTCGTCACGGAGACTGCTTATCAGATCTGCCATGCTTCTAAGTACCAAAACTGTTAAAAAAAAGTCATCTACACAAATAAATAATTGAATTCTTCGATTCACTCCTTTAAATAGGTGCAAACTTTTGGAGTAAGTACAAATAACGAAAACAGAAAATAAAATATTAATTAACTTAAAATAAAATTTACTAAATTTATCACTATCATAAAATAAAATAATAATGATCCTAAATAACCGAAAAATCATAACAACTTATTCTTATTTTATCTCTACTAAAATCAAATTAAATATAATTAAATCCGGTTGACTTTTTTTCTCTCACCTGTTAGCTTCAAAATAGAGAGAATTAATGCTAGAAAATTAACTACTACAACTTTTATCCTAATTTTAATCCACCGATCCAATGCATAATTAAAAAATTAACTAAATCCTAAAAATTAAAAACAGACTTGGACTCAATTAAATTAAAAATAAAACACTTCTAAAGCATTCTATTAACAAATCATTATTATAATAAATAATTATAAGTATATTAATAAATCATTATACCTAAATTATTATAAATATATAATTGAAAAGTAAGTCATATTAATATGTAAATATTAATAAATAAATAATTTAAAATTTTCAAAATTTATAATTTTTCAAAATACTGGTTGAACTTGGTTTAATGCACCAATTTTGAAGCATTTTTAATTGTTAATTATAAATAAAAAAAATATATAGTTTTCAGTTAATGAGGGAAGTTTTACTATATTTGTTGTTTCTAGTAAATAAATTAAATTATACCAATATCTGTTATCTAGGTATTAAATTTGTTATTGTTCCTTACCCATTTGAGCTTAAACTTTTATTAATTAAAAATATGCATCTTTTCAAGATTTCACTGTTTCCTATCATATAAAAGTATTGGAATTCTATTATATAAAAGCTTTTTATCTTCCAAAAACAATTTTAAAATAGAGTATGGTGAAGCATTTTCCCAAAAATTATTTAATCTTTTTCAAATTGATGCGAATGCCATGAGAAACCTAAACGTTGGGAAGTGAAAAGAAAAAATCTAGGGTTGTATTTGCCATATTTTGCATTGAAAATTTATGTAATGATATTAATTTTAGTAATAACTAGTTTCAATACTTTTACATTTTTCTTTAATTTTAGTTTATTAAATTAAAAAAATTCACTTATATTTAAAAAGTCGAGCAAACAAACAATAAATTATGTTGAAGAACTGTAAATGTAGCGTAAATAATAGATCAATTTAATGTTATTATCTCTTATTATTTTTTTTCTTCGGTTGTTTTGTTTTAACTAATTATATGTTAATCTTTTATAATTGGTTGGTGTGTGCAATATAAGGTATAATGTAAGAGTGACAATAAAATTGAAGTTATATTGGACACATTTGTGGTAATATTAATTTATAATTTCGAAATTAATTATATAAAATTAATTGCTTTTGTAAATGCTGTAATTCTATTAATACTAACTTATTAATAAGAAAATTCTGTAATTATAAATGTTTTAAAAGTAAAAAACTAAATATATTTTCATTAAAAAGAATTCAATTGTGTTAATATTTTAAAATGGGAAAGTAATGCAATCATATCAAATAAGAATAATTATAATAAAAGACAAAAAATAAGAATAACTAATCTCATTTATAGATTGTCATCCCATATTGCAATGTAAAATTCGAATTCTGATACCATAAAATAGATACCAACAATGAATTTTGATTCTTTTTCAATGATTTTCCTTACATTGACCCAAGATCATAGATTTAAATCCGAATAAAAACTATAAAAGCACCAATCCATGATTACGAAGTACTTCCTACCATCGACAGAATTCTTCATATAACTTTTGCATGATTTTGGAATTGTTTCAATTTCATTTAATTATAATTTAGTTTTGTGAACCCAATTAATCTATAAATTAAATAGTAGTTCACAATGACATAAAAAAGATTGCTATAAGTACTTTCATATAGTCTCCGGTCAGATATAGATAAAGCATGTTTAATGAAAAACAAATGAATTAGTTAAACTAGCTACAAAGTCATTATATATTATTTTATTTTAAAAATTTTAAATAATATAATACTATTTAAATCATTTTTATGCATTTGCGACTCTACCTATTTCAGCTATCAAATAATTTTTATTGGTGCTGGATGTAACGTCTGCTTTCTTGACGCAATACACAATTTATGTTTATATACCTATTTCAGCTATTAAATATATGTTTTTTTATTATTACTTTCATACTTTGGTTAATTAATGTTTCATTAAATAGTTGATATTTGGAAAATTAAAAAATATCTTTTTATTATAATGAGTTAAATTCTTCTTCTTTTGGTTGTTGATATTTTCAAAATTGAAATATAAATACTTGTTTTGTGTCATTTGGAGGTTGGTTATTTTGAAAAGCAAGATTTAAAATATTATGTTAGCATGTTTAAGTAAAAGTAGAATTTTTCAAACATAAACATAGCTACTAAACATTCAACTATGTGAAAATAAGTATTCCTTCCCGTTTCCGTTTTACTCCATTGATTTTGTTCACTGATAAAAATCATAAATAATTTTAGTTATGAAATTACAAATTTACAATTAATAGGTGTGCATTCAACAAAGATCATTATATATTACAAACGTTAAGTTTGAATTCCAAAAACAGCTAACAAATTTTCATAAACAATGCAAACATGTTTAAATACTTGCAGTTACCAACAAAAAGACAAATAAAACTTTCATTAGATGAAAAAAAGTAGACAAATAGAAAGACAAATAAAATGAGGAAACTGAACGCCATAGAAATATCCAGCGCTTGGAGAGAACACTGCTTGCCACGGCTTGTTTGGTTGGTTGGAAGAAAAGATAAAATGTAACAAAGGATTTCATCTGGCAAACTGCTGATTCTGTCATCCATGCTTGAGAATAATCAGACTTCGCTTAGCTGCTTCAGCTTCTTATAGGAGTAACTCACCGTCTAATTACCAAATCGTTTCAGAAAACTTTATTTTTGCATTGGAATTGATGTGCATTGCATGAGAACCTAAGAGTTGGACGTTAAAAGAATAAGCTAGGGTTGTATTTCCCATATTCTGCTTAGAAAACTGATGTCATTAAATCCTTATTACTAATAACTAGTCTCGATACTTTTATTCTGCTTTTTTAATATTACTTATTAAATTAAACACAATTTGAGTAATATTTTAAAAGTGGAGGAAACAAAACAATGTTTTCTTTAAGTATTTTTTCTAATTGTTGGTGTTGTATAATTGTATTAAAATTGACAATAAAAATAAAGTATTTTTTATATTCTTTCGTAAAATTAATCTGTAATACTATTGCCATGTTAGTTGTATAAAATTAAGGGTGTAGTTTGCAATTTTTTTTAATATTTTAAAAATATAGTTATTTTGAATATTAAATATTGTATTGTATTACAATAAATTAGTTTTATTTAATGATTGAAATAAAAAAATTTTAATGAGTGAAATAAGAAATAAGAAATAAAAAATTTATTTACATGATTGAAATATTGTATTGTCACTACAATACAATTTATATCTCTCTAGTTAGATAGATGTTTCTTGCAATTATATAATTCAAGATTATATAAAAAATTTCATATTGCTCGGATTAATTTGATGTACATTTAGAGAAAATCAAATCAATATATATATATATATATATATATATATATATATATATATGGGGTTTGCTAACGCGCACGTCTGTTTTTTAGTTGGTACATTTCAAAACTAAAAAAACAAGAAATCCTCAAACTATTACTCAATTCCCTCATTCCTCTCAATCCTTTATCTTTCATCTCTCTCACTCTAACATTTTCTCTGTTATCCTACTGTAGTTTCCAAGTGAAAAAATCAGAAACTTTCACTGTTTAAACATTTGTCTTTGTAAATGAGTCATTGTCAAAATATTTGTTTTCAGAGTGAAAAGGTTTTCATTCACAGATCTCTTCAATTTCATTTTTATCCTCTTCACTTTGAAGGTTGGGACAATCTGATCGAGCACTTCAGACCAGAAGACCAATCCCAGGATCCATCAATGATAGATTGAACTAAATGTTAAAGTCAAAATCAGGTCACAGGTTTTGGTTAAATATCGAAGAAAAAACGAATGATATCCAAAACATCACCAAACCCGGTATTTCCCCCCCCTTCCGAATGGAAAAGTAGTAACAAACAAATTCACAGGTATTACCCAATGGAATTTCACCCAATGGAATTTCAATACTTCAACTTCCTTAAATATTTCCAATGGAAGTGAGAATTTACCGATGCTTGCTCTAACCAACTTGGGCAATCTGATAAACTTTCCTTTATTTTCACAAGCCAAATGCCTCACTTTTATGACTTTCAAGTCCTCAAGATTAGGACACCCAGAAAGAAGCTGTGAAAGATCAATTTCTATCGGGGAATCAATATCATTTAGATCGGAATTAACATAATTTAGATGCAAAATCTTAAGCAAGGGCAAATCAACAAAGGAAATATCTTCCACTGTTATTTCCTCCAACTTGAGAGTTACAAGAGTTCTAAAGCTAAACACCACAGATGGAATGACAATGTCCGGATCACACTTGAGGTTGAGGATTTGAACTCTATCACTTTCACTTCACTGCATTCTGAATCCGAGTCCTGATACTTTTAAAAAATATACATGGAAAAAGTAACATCTGAGACGAAATCTATAGTAAGGGTTGATCTCCACTAGCAGCCATTTGGTGACTCAATTGCACCAAATACTTAGATCCTCCCATTGTGAACTCAATTGCACCAAATACTTAGATCGTAGATGGTTGAAATAATTTAAAATTAGAATGGTTTTGTAATTTTTTAATGTAATTACATTCGTGTAGTAAATTATGAGGAGGAGAAAAGGAAAATGGTAATTTTATAATGCATAGTAAAGTAGTACACATTTGTAGATCTAATATGCGGGTTAGTTTTTATTTAGTGATGTATTTTATATTTAGTAAGGTGGACACAAATTACTAAA